AATAATAATTATTATAATCTGTAGGTTAAGAAGATTATGAATAACATGTATTACATGCTGAAGAGCGAGTTCAACGCAAGCGACAGCTATGATGGTGGAAAGGTCATGTCTGTCATTCTTCGAGTTATTAAGGTAATAAGGTACACAAGAAAAAGAAGTTTAATTCGCTGGTTTTGTTTTATTTGAGCTTTTCGTATTTCTCCAGGACGTGACATTAAAACAAGTAACAAAAGCAGAAGCAGAAGGTACGGACGAAGTAGACGAAGACGATGAAGAAGAGGAAGAGGAAGAGGAAGAGGAAGAAGAAAGCGAGGAGGAGGAGGAGGAGGAGGAAGAAAGCGAAGAAGAAGAGGAAAGCGAAGAAGAAGAAGAAGAAGAAGAGGAAAGCGAAGAAGAAGAAGAAGATGAAAACGAGGAGAAACAAGAAGACAATGAAGAAAAAGAAGAGGAAACTGAAGTAAAAGGACATGACAAAGAAGAAACTGTCGAAGATATTGAAGACGTCGCCAAAAGCGAAGAAGAAGAGGACAAAAATAGCGAAGATGAAGAGGAAGAAATACAAAAGACCATTACAACAACAGAAGAGCCGAAGTCGTCAGAAACTGTCCAACAAGAACAAGAAAGTGACAATAATAAAAACAACGAAGAAACTGATTCAGAAAATCAAAACAATTTAATTAATGAAACTTCACATACATGTACAGAAAATACGTCTGTGACAGAAGCTGCAAATGGCGATAATGCAGACCAAGAAAGGAATGGTTTGCGGGAAAACTTAGCAGATAAACGTGATTCTGATGATGATTCGGAAGAGAGTGACAGYAACGAAGGTCCTCCGCCATTTGAAGAATCCGTAGAAGTGGAAAAGGAAACAATTTCTAGCGAGCAACCACCTTTAGAACAGGAACCCACTGCAGCAATTCCTGAAAGCGCGCAAGATAGTAAGAAAAATCAAAAATTTTGCCTTTTTTTTCTTCTAAAAATTAATATTTTGAAATTATACCTTACTAGAATCATTGTTTTCTTTTTCTTAGGTAAAAAAGACCCGTCAAAAACCCTGGACTCGTAAGTATTTTCGTATCATATACGTGGGGGCCTTATTGTCTTAGTTTGACTTCATTCAAGATGGCTGCCGCACGTAAAGTTCAGCCGTGTTTTTGATGTTATTTATTTTTTATAGAATATTTGGCGATGATGATCATGATGATGTGGAAGCTACTTTTGGTCTAGTATCAAAGAAACCAGAACTAGTGAGTATTCTATTCTCGTAAGATACAAGTTATATAGGAACTTGTTGCACGAACTGGTTCCCAAAGGCCTTATACACTACTAAGAGAACCTACYCTTCTAGGAGTTGAGGTTTTGGTTAGATTCCCCCTTAAAAGCTCATTTACACTTGCGATTTTTGCCGCGCGACCATCGCCTGAGTTTCGAACAGAGGAGGAGTTTCGAACATGCTTGAAAATTGGCTGCAACTTCGCGGCGATTTTCCATCGTCGCAACAAACGTAGGGCTGTTTACACGTACGATTTGAGTTGCGCGATAGCAAAGTGGCGATTATCGCGCTACAAAAATCGCAAGTGTCAACGGGCCTTAAAAACAACGGATGAAAATGGATTGTGAACGGATGTTCGAATTCATCCCAAAATGGCCGCTTTCTKTTTCTGAAAAATTCAAACCACAACCGCATTGCATGACGGTAGATTTTGGCCCTTTTAAAAATATTGATTTGTTCTTGTTTCAGGAGGAGTCTTTAACTAAACCAGTACCGCCKCCTCTCTTTGACGATGATGACGAAGACGATATTGATTGGTTCAAGTGAAGCAAGCATACCATAATATGCTAATCATTCCCATAATTCCATTCAAGGACAGAATTGCACCTCATTGGTGAAAATTTACTGATCGTGAATTCTTTTCAGTGTCATACGTGGAAGGACGCCCACGAATAAAGTATTTTTTGTAATTAAAATCAAATACATAAAAATAATAGATAAATTACTAACTGGCACCTTGCCTCGAATTTAACAAAAAACGCTAAAAACGTCCTTGACTTTCAAATTCTCTTTTCGTGGAAAGTTTTTAGATTTTAATGACAAAATCGGTATCAATGTATAGCCAAATTTCAAAGGTAGAAAGTTATATATGAAAAAGAATCAAAAATTAATAAAAAAGAAACATTTTGAACATTGCGTGGTTTAACGTATAAAAAACTATTCATAACACAAACGATAACCTAACAAACTGCAAATAAAAACCTAATTCCCCTCTCTCCGTCCCCAGCATATAAAATAACAATTCGTTTCGTTAAGTATTATGATGATAAATGGGTTATAAACTACACCAGCAACTTTGAAGGTGCAACGAATAAACAAACCAATGTTAGTGTCTAGATATTTCTTTAATCTAATTGTGCAAACCATTCAAAATATCTATATTATTAATAGGTACGTTCTAAACGTTTATCGTAAAATCATATTCTTGTATCTAGAGATCTTCATCAATATAATCTTTTTGTTGTTCGGAATTATCATTGCGAATATACTATGCTGTTATGTGTGCAAAATTATTCAAAATGGCGAGATCGCCGAAGAGAATTCTGGTAAAAAAACTACCTCGTACCCAGTCTCTTCTCTAGCGGCGCGCGGTGCATCAAGGGAATGGCGGAAGATAACGTAGACTCGCATATGACCATGTCATCGTTTTAAATATCTTCCACTAATCAAAATAATGTTTTAAAAGACTGTTTTACAGTGCATTTGTACAATTATGTTTCCCTAAAATTGACTTTTTTCTTATTTTGTCACGTGTCTGGGTGCGATAACATATCCCATGACGAAAGCCACTTTCGTTGGCTAATTTCCTTCGACGTAAGCTCCACATGCCCATACGTAAACGGACTAAAGAAATGATACGTAAGGACGACGGCAAAACAAAGAATTACGCATGTTGAGAGTAGAGCGTACCGCAGGGCTTGGTATCTGAAATTATAGACATAAATTAGAATGACAGAAAGAAGAAAGCGGGATAAAAGAAAGGGAGAGAGGGAAAAAAAGATATAAAAATGACATAAAGAACGTATAAAGAAAGAAATCAAGGAAAATAATTTATATACTAGAAAGGCTTGTCGACAAGTCGATATTTCATCGTTTATCCGATATTTCATCGTTTATCCGATATTTACTGATTATCAACCGATACATTGTCGAGAGTTTGACGACAATCAGAGACAAAGAAAAAGAAAATAATTTGAAGCTATTCAGCTTATAAATCATCGACATTTGCCGACAATCAACCGACTATAAACCGACAGTGTGCCGACAGAGGTATTTGTCACTTACCGTTCAATAAGATTATAGACATGCTGAACGAGTACTGATAACAGGACTATCTTGAATAACAAAGCCGGTAGATAGTGATGAATAAACAGAGTACGATCCATAATAAAGTACGGTAAGTAGTGTAGAACATATCCCATTACTTGTAGATAACCAACGAAACAGAACCTTTGCCACGCGTCTGAAATAAACAAACACAGACAAAATGATCAATTTATAACGTAAACGCATTAGTMTCCTTCACGGTTACGTGCGCCATCTTGAAAGGTACCTTTTAAGATGGCGCAGGGAACCGYGAAGAAGACTATTCGGCTACAAGACTTACTTGAATAAAACTCTATCTTAAATCTCTCTATCTATCCACCTCCACCAACAACGTCATATTGTTTTTTCGAAGTGCATTATGGTAATGGCATTAGTATTGGTGGGTGGATCTCAATAAAAAACTACGCATGGACGAAGTTTTTTTGCACCATTAATATTATTCATTGTCGAAAATTCTTTGGTATGTTCATTCATGTTTTATACGTAAAAGACCTGTCTGAGAACGAAGTAATGCTTGTTTCTAAAACGACATGAAAAATGTCTCGAGTTTGAACTTCGGCCAATCCCATAATGCATCTCGCGGAACGCCGCGCAATGTGTGATGGGGAAAGTCCATTGAAAACTCCTTGTCTACATAATTGAACTGTTTTCTTTTGGTTCTTTTTCATTATTTCAGATATACTAAAAGTTTCTGTTTTGCCGCTCACCTTCATCGATGTCAAACACAGCTCGGCGTCGTCTTAGTAAATATATGACTAATATTCCAAAGTAGGCAATGATTGACAGGCTGGACACCCACCACACGATGGGRTTACCAAAACAGTAGATCTGCATCTATGAAAAAATCCCCTGGTATTAGGTACTATAAGAGCAGGGGCTGGAGCAGCCATAGTCTCCTGGCAGCCATGTTTAGTTCCGGTCACGAGTCACGCAATCTCTCTGGAGAGATGAGAGAGCGTGACGCGTGACCGAAACTAAACACGGCTGCGAGGAGACTAGAGCAGCCATCACAGCTAMACTTTCATTGACCTATTGGAGATTGAARWGATGAAGAACAAAGMAAAAACAGSAAAAATCATATCTTACATTCTTATCTCTATGTATCCAGTAAGCCACACCACGTTTCAAGACAGGCCAGTGTGCTGGAGWAGAGCTAAAAGTGTGCTCACCAGAAAGTTCTTTGTTGGACTGAATCATTTTCCACTAAAAACACAAAAAAATCAAATCAAAGGACGAGGATGGACCAATCGCGTTTCCTTAGTATATCGGACCGTACGTCATCCAATCAGGGTGCGCGCTTTCTTGGAATATCAGACAATGCGTCAACCAATCAGATTGCGCGTTTCTTCCTCAGGCACGTATAGTCAGTGTGCTTACAACTTTAGTTTCGAAATACCTGCATTTCCAGGAACTTGTAAAAGAATGGCATATGTATGGGCTCGTGTGGTTGGGCATCAGYCCTAGTCTTTTTCTCCTCGGGAACGTAACCTTCAGCTAAATASGAAAATTATCATAGATGTATATTAACTGTGCACTTTGGCGACAGAAACGGTTTTGGAGTATTAATTGATGAACTTTGGGCCTTAAAGAGCAACGTTTTCTTTTTTTCCTGCATTATTTCTTTCAAAATATTAGTATCGAAAGCTCATCATTGAATGCTCAAAAACTCGAAAAAAAAGGAAAGTGGTTTTCGTTTCTGTTCTGTTTCTTGAAACGTAAGTTATTACGCTGTTATATCACGTTATCAACGTCGTTACGTTACGGTACTTACGATAAGTTATGTTCTGTTGGTGTTCTTCAACATTCCACGTGGTATCTTGCTGGTTGATAACCCTGTCAGTAGCCACTTCAAACTGATG